AACTTATTCATTCCTATCGTAATTGGAATTAGAAAAAAATTGTTTTTCAAAAAATAAAATGTTTGTTTAAAAGATTTTAAAAAATTGAAAGTAAAAATTAATTGTATGAATATTATAAAATGCTTTAAAACTTTTGCATTAATCAACAAAATATAAGCTTATATAAGTAAATAAAGTTATTTTATATTCTTATAGTTTCAAATGTTTAAATTTATCATGCCTACACAAAAAATTAATAAAAACATTTTTTATTAGTTTACACAAAAATTTTAGGAAAGATCAATGATTAAAATATATTCATAACATAACACTTTTTATTGCATTTAAATAGTTTAAACATCAAAGCAGCTGTGGTCAAGTTGTAAAGAAAAAAAGTTATTAGCGTGGTCAGTTACAGAGTGTGATTGCATGCCATTCCTGTCTAAGCCTGCATTTTTTCTTGTCATGATAAGAAGCCAACTCTCTCTAATTGCTTGGAAGGGGCATTTGAGCTTGAAAAGGATCTCACTTCTGCTACAGCATGGGGCTCACAGTGGCTTTAATTCAGATAAAACTCAATTTTTTTCAGCCAATTGTTATCGCAATAATTTAGACCTTCCTTTATTTATGAACAGTAATGCACTCGATGAGTCATCTACCCTTCATCTTCTAGGATTAACTCTTACTTATGATCTTTCTTGGAAACCGTATATCAAATCCATTGGAAAATTAGCATCTGCTAAAGTTGCATCTCTTTATCAAGCTCGACACTTTCTTACTCCTGATTCTATTCTCTATCTCCATAAATCTCAAATCCGGCCTAGTATGGAATACTGTTGCCATATATGAGGTGGATCTTCTAATGACGCCCTTTCTCTTTTAGACAAGGTGCAAAAATGCAATGTAAACACAGTTGGACCTGCTCTTGCAGCCAACCTTTAACCATTATCACATTGTTGTAATGTTGCTTCTCTTTCTCTTTTCTACAAATACTATAACGGGCACTGCTCTAAAGAGTTAGCGTCTCTTGTGCCATCTACAAAAATTCATTCTCGTGTTACTTGTCATTCAATTAAGTCTCATCATTTTTCTGTTACTGTTCCTAAGTGCTCCAAAAACTCTAATTCCTCTAGTTTATTTTTCAAACATCAGTTTTTTGGAATTCGCCTCCTTCATCTTGCTTTCCTTATTCATATAATTTGCAATCTTTTAAGTCGTTTGTCAATTGTTATCTTGCTCTACAATCTTCATCTTTTCTCTTTCAGTAACTTCCAACACTAATTAGTGGTTGCTTGCAGCCTTGTTGGAAGCGAAAATGTTTAACAAAAATAAAAAAGTTTACTACTTTAATATTGAAAAAAGTTTTCTTTTTCTTTTTCAATATTAAAATAGTAAATTAAAAAGCACCCATTTCATGAACAAACATGTGTTATTAACTGTCCCACTTTTAAACCAATTTTTTATGGTACATGGATTGCATTTATATAAATGGTAAGTGGTTTTTATAAATATGTGTGGATTACTGCCATCTTTAATTCTAAATATGAAGTCCAAAAAGTTTATAAATGGTATGTGGATTATCTTTAACTCTAAATATAAAGTCCAAGAAGTTTTTAATTATTTTAACAAACAACATAAAAATAAAATTTACAATAAAAAAAGAACAAGAAAACCAGATTGCCTCTTTAGATCTACTTATTAAACTATTCAATTTTTTTTTGACATCATTTTATCTTAAAAAAACTTATACAGGTCTGTTCAAAATTTTTTTTTTAGTTTGTTCTCTTTGGCTACAAATTTGGTTTTATACCTTGTTTGATTGATAGAAAATATAAAATTAATAATACTTGGCTGGTATTTGATAGGGACATAAAAAACCTTTTGTTTTACAGAATAATCAATTTCCACAAGAAGTTGTTGAGCTTTTTCCTTTATATTTTTTGATTGTGAACATGCTAGTTGATTCATAAATTAACTATATATACTAATAGTTGATAATATTTTGTTAATAGATAGATGAACTAAATTGATATTATATTTATATCAGATGGTTAATTAATAAAACTTTTTTAATTGACAATAATGTAGTGAAAAGTTTGTTCAGTTCAAACTAAAAATAAATCTTTTTTTTTTAATTTATCTTTTTGTATGGCAGTCATTGCTTTTTTAACTTATTTTGTGAGTTAAAAACATTGTCTAATAAATTAATTATTTAAAGGGATCCCAAACTCCCAACACATGTTGTGTTCATATTAAAGATAATGTTAAAAAAAAAAGTTTGAACCAAGTTTTTTTGATTAAAAATAAATAATGAATGCATACCCAGAATAACTAATGTTGTTGTTTTAACCGAAGCTCGCCTTCTTCATAACTCAGAGTCTTTAAATTATACGTCGCAATCTACAGACTTTGGCGATTCCTTTGAAGCGCATTTAATTCATAAAAGTTTTTGCATTTGACGCCATGGTAGTTTTTTTTAACAAAAGAAAAGTGTAATTAAACAAAGCTGCGTTTTTCTACTTTAATTCAAAAAGTACAATGCAATAATTTTTTAACATACAGCAAAACAACTTTTACAACAAATTTTTGTAAAAATCAAAAATAATAAAAGCTTTTTATTTCATAGGAGGAACTTTTTTTTTACCAATGTCTTAATAATTTTTAGATTTATATATCTTACTTATAATTCTTTTGTTTTTAAATTAAAACAAATATTAAAGCTTTACTTATGAGTCTTATGATTTTCATCCAAGTGTTTTAGATTATATAGAACGTTAAGTATAGGGTCTCTCGTTTTTGTGCAAGCGCAGTATTATATATTCTGAATCTTACTTATTTTTATTTAAACAATGGGAACATTTTTCAAACTTCTGGTTATTTTTACGCTATGATATTTTTTGTTTTCCTGTCAAAAAAAAGTATTTATTAACAATTAATTTCAGTATTAATTAATTAATAACATTATTAAATAATAACAATTAATTTCAGTATTAATTACAGTATTAATAAGAGATATTTGATGAATTGTTAACTTTTTTTATTATAAAAATTTTTTGATTACGCTGATTTATTTTAAATTGCTAAATTTGCTAAATTGGATACGGATAAAAAGGAAATATCATTTTATTTTACATTTGATTTTTGATAATAAAACTTTTAAAATGTCGGCAACTCCATACCAATTAGAACCTGTTAAGGTTATGAAAAAAATGTACAAGAATACACTAAACAATACAGTTGACAGTAGTATCAGATATAAAAATTTGTGAAAGGATATGTGAGATCCTGGTTTTGCATTAAAAGTACAATTAATAGCAACACAAGTCGGCATTATAAATTTTGATTATAAGTTTACTGTTCAATATTTTATAACCATCAAATAAAAAACATGAAGTTTGTATATTTTCGCCTGTTTTACAACTAATATTTAACAAAAATATGGACAAATTATTATTATATAACACAATAATTAACACATTAATTAATGGCAATAATTCAAGATAAATGGTAATTTGAATGGTCAAAATGTCATAACGCGCGTTAAAAAACATATTATAATTGGTATTACCTAATTTGTGTCGTATTTGGCATTTGTTTCTTAACATGAAAAATTAAAAAAATTTTAAAACACAACAAATACAAATTTTCAAGCAATTTTCTCTTCCAATTTTCAATTATTCAAAGAAAAGTTACTATTAAACTTTTATTTCTCTCATCTAAAAAAATAACGAGTGATGCAAAAAAAAAAAAAATTCTATACAACTCTTATTCATTCGAAGTTTAATTACGCGAAACTTTTTTTCTTTTGCTCTACTCTTTTATAAAAAGAGCGAGCGATGAAATAAAATTTTTTCTTTCTTAACATAAATTTATACTTAGAGATAAAATTAAATGAGAAATAAATCAATAATGAACAAAGCAACTAACAGATTAATGTGGGACTATTTTAATATTTATGAAAATAATCAACATAATCAACATTACCAACAACAATTATCAAATAAACAACACAATTTCAGATAATTTTAGGGGCTTTTTATTTTTATTGCTTAGTCATTCTAAATAATAAGTAAATTTAGTTCAAGTTAATATTTCATTATTTACAGTTGCAATATAATAAAGAAATGATCTTTAATGTTGAACTTTTTTATTTAATTATTTATTTTTTACCTACATTTGTTATAAAATCTTTCAAACCCCCGTCATTAAAATAATTTGTGTTAAATATATTTCAAAGTGATTATTCAAACTAATTTTTTTCGCTGGACTTCCCGAACTTCATGCAAAGCAAATTGAGATGAAATATTGTCTAACCAAATAAAAATGCTGTTACTAATTTTATAAGGGTAATTAATGTAAAACAATTTTTTATCAGAGTCTTGAGATAATAAATATTCATAATTTATAAACATGAAATATATGGCGCAATAACAATTTATAGCAACAAACCAGCATATCTTTTTAAATGTTAAAAATAGAAAGAAAAAAACAACAACAAATAATCAAAAAAAGTTAGAATAAAAATATTTCCAGAGTTTCATTTCTTAAAAGTCTGCCGTGATGTCAAATAATAAAACTTTTATGACTTAAAATAATTTAAAGACTCCAAGTTATTGTAAAAAATGGAGAAGGTGAGCTTCAGCTAAAACAATAACATTAGCTTTTCTTGGTATGCATTCATTATTTATAAATTCATTATTATTTAATCAAAAAAACTTGGTTCAAACCTTTTTATTTAATATTATCCTCAATATGAACACAACATGTGTTGGGAGTTTGGGATCCCTTTAAAAATTGCAACATGTTTATAATATTTGTTTTATTATCTTTTTTTTGTAATTTTTTGTTATTTTCTATTTTCAAATTTAATTACAAATGCTTCTAAAAATAATTAAAAAAAATGATTGTTGTAAAATATGATTTATAAAAAACTGAAGCTTTTAAAATAAAGTTTTCAAACTTTTTTCAGAAGGAGAAAGTGTTTCAGCTACAAATTATTAAATGAAATTTTTAAACTTTAGGGAGAAAGTGGTTCAGCTACAAATTATATCAATAGAAATCAAGCATTGAAAAAATTGCAACTAAGTTTGCCAGATTTCCGGTAATTTTTCAAAATATTTTTGTTTACTTGTTTTTTCAATATATGCAATGTAAATATAATGCTTTTTAGTCGAATTTAACATTATGTTATGATAATATATAGTTAACATACTTTTTATTTTTTATTAAATTGTATTAGTTGCAATATTTTTTTTTCCAATATTTTTTTTTTACCGGGGCTATAGCCCCGGGACTCACAATGTTAGGGGCCGCGAAATAGTCAAGAGGACTATTCAATATTTTTTTTAGTCATTTTTACGCTGTGGCACATAAAAAAGGCCACCAAAATAATGCAGTCCCCGGCCCTAAAAAGTCCAACAAGATTTAACCAATAAAACTAACGCTAGATAATTTATTTATAAATAAAAAAGTTTTTTCAATAACTGTTTTATGCTTCGCATAGTTTGAAAAGTTTGAAAAACACATTTGAAACAATTCTTCTTAGTAAAATGAACAAATAAAATAATTAAATCATTGAGTTACTGTAGAAATTCAATTAGCTAGATAGAAATTAACTAAAAAGATTAAATTACTTTGTGAGGAGGAAGCGAAACTGCTTCACAATACAGCTGATGATATTTAGTAAGTGGACTTTATAATTTTAATTAGTATTTAAAACAGAAAAAAATAACTTTAAGTATAACAAGTTTATAAGAACGGCTGAAGCAAAAATAATTGAAGTTAGTAAACCAAAATCTAAGAACTTAAAAAACTTTTTTTTCTTGGGGGAAAGAATCAGTTATCGGGTACACTGAGGAAAATGGATTAGTGGTTAAAATTATTTGTATTAACTTTGATTATTATTAATAATTTCATTGAAAACACAATTATTGAAAGTATTTTTGTTTACAAAATCAATTGCACAAATTGCTTTAAAAGATTACATTTGAATAAAATACACATACATAAAATTACATACATAAAAATACATTACATACATGAAAAGACATTACGTACATAAAAATACATTACATATATAAAAAATACATCCCTTATATATAAAAAATAAGCATATACTAATAAAATCTATAATATATTTACAAAACAGTGACAAGTTAAAAAATATAAATCTAAAACATTTATTTTTGTAAACAAATTATGTTAGTTTAAAACATTTATAGCTTTGTAGATGTAGTTCTGAAAATGAGCCATAGTATTAAAATAATAGTTCATTTAATAGTATATTTATAAAACAATTTATGCTACAAATCTCAAAGAAAATATAACAAAACCAAATAATACAAGTTTTTAAAATGTTTCAACAAAATACTTTAGAACATTCGGTTAGTATTTTTTGAACCAATAGAATTAGTTGTTTGTAGATTTGTCGGGATTTTTGTGTTCCCAAATATTCTTTTTTTTATTTTTCGCACAAAGATGTTTGAGAATGTTCGAGTTTATGTATGTTTCCATGTATGTCCGTAAAACAAAATGTTTTAAAAAGATGTTTAAGAACATTCAAGTTTATGAATGTTTCCATGTATGTCCGTAAAACAAAATGTTTTAAAGTTTTCGATAAAATAATGAACCTAATTATTATTTTGAGGACAAACAAGGAAACATGTATAAACTTGATGTTTATGTTCTCAAAACAACTAAAAAATCTGCCCTGTTTTTCGCAACTAAATATTATTTCCGTGGTCAGTTATCGAGTGCGATCGCACCCGCTTCCTGACCAAGCCTGATATTTACATTAAATTCAAAAGGGGTTTAAAAAACATATAAAAAGGGGTTTAATAAACATATAGAAACTAATTTAAAGCACTTATAGTTTTTTTAAAACACAGCAAAAAAACTCTAATAGCATATTTTATAATATATCTTTTTTATCATTACTTTTATTATCAATTAATCAATTTTTAATTTAAAACATTTAAAGTTTTAAACAAAAATTACTTTTAAATTTCCCCCTAAACAAAAACTAGATCTTAATCTTTCATACAATGAGCTTTAGTAAAAAAGTTACATCAAAAATGGAGATCCATTTTTAACCTTGATTAACTTGGTATGGTGTGATTAGGCTTGGTCGGGAAGCGGGAGCGATCACTCTGAAATACTGAACACGTTAATTATATTTAGTTGCAAAAAACTGGCCAGGTTTTTTAGTCGTTTTGAGAACATTTAAGTTTATGTAGGAAACAAAAATTTTTTGTTTTAAAGACATACATGGAAACATAAAAAACTTAAATGTTTCAAAACATCTTGGTGCGGAAGTATATACTTTTTGTAAATGCAATGCATTTTATTGAAGCTGCACCGAGCAGTGAACACCTTAGGGATGAATAATAAGTTAAAAAGAATTTAGCAGAGTGAGATAAAAGTACAAAAGGACAGATGTCCAGGGGAAAACAAAGAGTCTCAAAGTGGAAAAATAATTAAAACTGATATAAGTAAACTGTAGTAAAAAATAAATAAGAATAATAAACAATAGTCAAAGAAAGTCATTAGTTGTTGTGTTATTAAATTGTTATTTGTGTCTAGCGTAACTGTGATGTATGGATAGAATTGGTAATGGAGTAGAATAATTCGTTTAATAAGTAGTCAACATGTGGTTTGTATTATTAGGATAATAAACATACGTTATAGATATAAGTGTCATGAACGTCTCGAGTACAGTATGGATTCGTGCCTTATGGTGCAGTATGAACACATGAAGACCTCCAGCTTTTATCCGAGACTGGTATCCCAAAAGAAGTTTCACTCTGGGTCTACACCAGGGTATTTTTTCAAGGTATCCCATTGTGTTGTCCCAAAAGGACTATTCTCAGAGTATCCAGTCAGGATGATTGCCACAGACTCCTGAATTGACACTGGGACCAGAGGACATTTAGCGGGGTTCAGTACAACTTGCAAACACTAGTAAGTAGTTTTTAGACATGAGTGTCTATTAAGTGCAGTGGTTTGTCAGAGTCAATGAGAGTTGTGAACTGTTTTGAGTTCTTATAACTATGTGTGTAATGTAAGTAGTCAATGTAGTGTATGTGTGTGTGATTACTGTAGTAGCATGTCTTGATAGTGAGAGTTATCAGTATATACTTTTTAATTGGTGTCACGTAATGTAGGCGTGAGTGCTATGAGTCCAAAAAACGTGCATCATTAAAAAATAGCATAAACTAGAAATGTTAAACAGAGCTATATCAATAGAGCAACAATGACTTGTATATGTGTATTGCAACTAATAATCTGTATATATATTTTACAATTCATAATCTAAAATTATATAGAAATTATGTAGTCTAACAGTTAAATGTAGGTGGTACATAAGTGTGATTTGTATTTTGTATAAGTGACAAGTTTAACTGTGCATGTCACGTGACTGTAATGTAGTCAGGAGTATCTGAAGTCGAGTGGAATTATTCGTTTTCAAAACAGTTAGCAGGTGAACTTAATCACAATGTACGTATAGCAGGCTGTCAAGTCGTCATTTTTTTCTTTTTTTTCATTTTTTTTGGGTTCTTTTTTTTTTCTTTATTTTTTTTTTCATTTTTTTGTTAGTTTCTGTCATTTTTTCATTTTTTTTCTTGAATTTTTTACACTTTAAAGTTTTTTTTTATAAAAAAATTACTTAGAATTGCTGTTTTTGATATTTTTATGTTGTTTTAGACATTATGTTACTTAATTTTTTATTTAATTTTCAAAACTATTTAAAATAACAGTTACAATCTTTTATATTCACATTTTTATTTTAATTATTCATTTGTATTGCTAAATTGGTGTTTTTATTTAAAAAAATAAATCATTCTATAGTATAGAATTAGTAAAGTTAGTGATTTTTATATTTAGTTTTTAGTATATTTTTCAATAGATTATATAGTATAATGGTTAAGTGGAATGATATGTGGTTGGAAAAGTTAAACAAAAATCTAGTGAAATCCAATTATGGGCTGAAAAAAGAAACTCTGAATATGCTATCTGTAAACTATGCAAAAGTGATTTAAAATTCAGTTCAGTTGGTTTCCAAGCACTATATCAGCATTCTTTAAAACCTAAACATAAGTCAGTGTCTGATCTAAGATTTTCAAAAACTGCTCGTCATTTATATGTAGATTCTAACAAAAACTCTATTGGGGGAGAAAAAGTTATACAATTCGAGTTCTCTATAAATGAAAAAATTCTGCTGCAGAAGTGGCAGAGAATGATCTTGTCTTAAGACATTGTGACAACACACCAATATTGTTCCAAAGAATGTTTCCAGATAGTAAAATAAGTAAAGGTTTTACTATGAGTTGGCAAAAAGCTTCATATATTTTGCAAGATGGCCTTGGGCCATTGTTGGAAAAGCATTTATGTGATAGTATCACGTTAAGTCAAGGTGCATTCACTTTAATGTTTGATGAAACAACTACTTCACAACAAAGAAAACAAATGGATCTTTTATGTCGTTTTTGGTAAGAAGACGAAAACCAAGTTGTTACAAAATATTTAACATTGCTGTTCTTTAGCAGAGCAACAGTAGAAGATGTCAAAACAATGCTAGCAGATTTACGTCATAATGAAAGGTTTTATTTACCATGGGATCGTCTTTTTAATATTTCAGCAGATGGTCCTAATATTAACAAAGCCATTTGGAGATTGTTAAATGCTGATCTTCATAGTAATGGTTTTAATGGCTTGTTACCATTTGTAAGTTGCACTTTGCACACAGTGCATAATGCTTTTCAAAAAGCAATTAATGTTGTCGGTGAGGATGCTGAGCAGCTTGCATTTGATTTACATACCTGGTTCAAGGTAATGATTTGAGTAATTTTATACAGTAGAATCCCATTAATTCGGACCCTGGATAAGTTGGATTTGTACTATGTCGGACAGATTTTCAATTCTTCTTGAGCTTTCTATACATACAAAAAGCTTAGCTTATTTGGACATTCGCTAAGTCGGACTATTTATCTATTCCCTGTGAGAGTCTAACTTAACGGGATTTTACTGCAGTTAATACTTAAAGAGAATTTTTTATTTTACCTATGAAGTTATTTTTCTTACATTATTATTTTTTATTCTAAT